CATATATATATATATATATAATGTTACATATATATATATATATATAATGTTACATATATATATATATATATATAGTATTATATATATTAAAAAAATCCCCTGGATAAATCCATGAATACCAGTTCTAATTACAGCTTACAGACAGTAACATTTTAACTGTACATATATTTTTTTAATTATTCTGATACCTATCAAATTCATTTGAACAAATTCTAAAGTGAAATTATACCTCTACAATGAAGGCTTTCCGTTCAGATTCGCTTTCTATTTGCTTAATGGCCACATCTTTTCCCCGCCATTTTGCCTTGCAAACTACTCCAAAGGCTCCTCGTCCAACAACCTGAATAAAAAGATAACGGGAGATTTTGAAGCAACTATTAGAAACAATTTGCCACTTTTCTTAATATTCTACAAAGTCATAGAAAAACACATATTTATATTCTGCAAGAGGTCTGTCCAAAGTTATAACCTGTCACCCTTGAGAAGCTCTTTATGCCTGCTAAGCATTTGACAACTTTCAATTTTGGTAGTCCAAGAGACAAGCAACAAAATCATGAGGTTGTACTTAACTTTTAGACACAATTAATGGATGAATAACTTGCAGGATTCTGTTATGATGTCTAGAAACAAACCCAAAAAGAACCCTAGAAGAGAGGAGCATGTTGGAAACATATTAACCAAGGCCTTTTCCTTTTCTCTTATCCATTGCAGTGTGGAAGCTTAACACAAAAATATTTAATTTCTGTTTATTGTGGCTCTAAAATGTATGTCTATGGAAAAATGCAACACAGATGGTGTGAAATTAACACTATATTCACATTTCATTAAACCAAGGCTTAGCCATAATTTATTGAACAAGCAATATTGGCCTGGTTCTCACATCTCACAAAATGAAATCCCCCAAAATTAGCATGTGTACCTAGCCACATTCAACCCAGAAAGAAAAGTTAAATCCTACAGAATCTAATGAGATATACTCACCAAAAATGTTTCATAGGAGCGTGTCTTTTCAGCAAAAGGAGCATCAGACTTGACATAGCAAAATGTCCCAAAACATTTTTTTATACAAATTAAAAGGATTTTATTGGGAGTACCATTATTATAAGATATAACTGCATGGTTATTATTTCTTTATATGGGCTTAGATGTTTCTAACATTTCCAAATTCAATATAGAGAAGGTAACACAACTGGAAAGCAAGTTACAGGGCTGTGCATGCATATGCATTAATGTATTTAACACATTTCTTTGTTAACTTCTGAAACTGAGCTATTTTAAAGTGGTTTATAATATAAACATACAATTTTAACAATGTTAATATTGTAGAGTAACAGTATAAGTTGCAAATTATAAGTGTTAAAACCAGACAAATTTGCATCTTTTAAAACAACAGTATATAAAAAAGCTTTACTATTAAAAACAAGCTTTCCTTATGTTATTTGTTAATTCCACAATATTGTACACTGTTTAAAAGATTTACTATCAGATACCTATAATACAGCTTATCTTTAAGTGTGACCTCACTTATGCCATTACTAAGATCTTCCTCGGCATAACTTTCATTGTAGAAAACAGATTTGGAGATATTGATCTGCCTGAAAAAACACCTACTCATACAGTTTTGGAATCATTTTAAATTGGCTAAAACCAGTAAACAGATATATTTTTAAGGAGTTCTCACTTATTTCTATAGGACACACAAGTAGTGTCTTAGTAATGAGTTCATTATCCTGGGTGATTTTCAAAATTCTATATACATATAACTTCTACTGATAATGTATGATGTATACATTTGTTTGGTCATTTAGACCCAGAAGGTTTTCTTCCTTAGAAGCAAACACCTATTTTGTTCTCATTTTATTAAATGTAACAGACTTTTCTTTAAAAATTATAAGTTTTAGATAAAAGCTGTAACTGCAAGATGAAACAACTTTCATGATAGGAGCTGCAACTGCAATATGTTGTTTTTTGTCTGTTCAGTCATATCAATTTGCAACGGGTAAACTTTAAAACTAGATTTTAGCATAAAAGCCTGGCCCTAAGCACTTAAATAAGTGCTTGGACATGTGGTTTTGTTGCCTTTTTAAAAAAACCACTCAATTTTTCTGTCAAACTGAGAAACAGGTTCACTATTACCCAGTGAGTTTCCCAAGTGTGAATTTATATCTAGATCTTTTCCTCCTGCGGTCAACATTTTGCACCGTAGGCAGTGCCCTTATCCTGAATATCTTCACCAATGGAAACAATTGGCTTGTGCCCATCTCGGAATAAATGAGAAAAACCCAAGTCAAGGCATCTTGACTTGAGATGTGACACTTTTGCAATGCTATCTATTTCTCCCCCAATATCCCGAGTAGACATTTCTTCCAAATCCAGATCACAGATACACACACATTCACAGCCATCCGAGAAAGTTTCTTCGAAATCCAGGAGTTTCTCCAGAAAACTTACACTCAGGACCCCAGGGACAATCTTCCCCCTCCCTCCCACCATTGCAGACCCTCTCACCTCTTCCACCTCTATCTCTTTGTAGTCGATTTCTTCGAAGTTGAGCACCGGGGGGGTTTCAATCATGTCCACGGAGCTGGGAGAAGACATGCCTTCCCTTCCCACGGGGTGCAAGAAGGGGGGCGCGTCTGACGGGGCACGGGGCGGAAGAGACCCAGGCGGATCTCGAGGGGCTCCCCTCGCCAGCCTGGGTCTCCGGATCCTCTGCTCAGCAACCACCACAACAGCCTGGCGGAGGGACCCCCTGGGCCGCGGAATAGCCTCATACGAGGCTGTTTCGCCCGGGCTTTATTGGGGCCGCCGGGAAGCCCAGGCCGGGGGACCCCGGCTCGTCATTTTTGCGACTCACGCTGGAAGCCGCCCACGGATCACTTTCTCCCTCGCCCCCTTTTTTTTTTAAACCGGGCAGGCCGCGGTCTTTCCGGGGTCGCAGTTTGGGAGTCGCGCCCCTGCAGCAGGGGGGAAAAAAAGAGACCGAGAGGGAGAGTTGAATGGGGAGGATGGGAGCCGCCGCTCAGAGCTGAGCCGCCACCGCTGCCGCCGCCTTTGACATGGGGGAAGTTGCATGGGAAGAGGGCGGCTATTCTCTCCACTCTAGGGGCTCCGGTCCCCCTTTCTTGCTCCGCCAGCAAAAGGCCCGACCAGGACCGCGGCCTGGTAGCAGAAGCGGCGGCCCGCCTCTTCCTCCCTCCCCGCCTCCCTCTTCCTGAAACTGCGCCGCCTTCCTCCTTTGCGAACTTCCCAGAAGGCCGTCGAGGGAGGTCGGGAGCGGGAAACGCGATTCTTGGATACCCGGAGACGCTCCCTCCGCTGTGGACAGGAGCCCGGAGGGTCCGTTTCGGCGGCAGCGAAAGTGAGAGGCGGCAGAAAAGAGAAGCCGTCGCCGCTGCTCGGCGGGTTGGCTCGGGAGGCGAGAGACTGGCGAGGGCTGCCGCTTTCTCAACGCTGCATCCTCTTAGGACGAGCGTCTCGGTTTTCGCTTGTTTTGCCATTTCCCACTCGGGACCGTAAGGATTTTTTTCTCCTGGCAGCCGGGGAGGAGTGAAAAGCCACGACATGCGAGCATGGAGAAAGGAGCTTTCGAGGAAATGCAATTTAGATATGAAAGCCGTTTGTTTGCCATTTTCCGACCGGGGTGAGAGGCAGCGAAGAGAGGCAGAAGGAATTTTTCTCCTGGCAGCCGGGGAGGAATGAAAAGGCATTCAAAAGTTGAGCACGGAAAAGGAGCTTTCGGAGAAATGCAACGCAGAAATGAAAGCTCCATTTCCATGCTCAATCTCGTGGCTTTTCACTCCTCCCCGGCTGCCAGGAAAGGGGGGAAAAAATCCTTCCATTTCTTTCGCTGCCTCTCTCCCCAGTCGGAAATGGCAAGCAAGCGGCTTTAATTTTTGCATTGCATTTCTCTGAAAGCTCTGAGAGGCTCTTTTTGAACTTTGAGCCTCCCAGCAACAACCTTATACGGTGGGAAAAACGGGGGCTGAGAAAGAGGCTGGCTGGCTCAAAGCTCCCTGGTCGAGGGAGAGTAAACCTAAGGCTCTTTTGCCCTTGCTCCGTTGTTGGTGTTTCCCGCCACTGCTGAGCTGGCAGAAAGCACATCAATCGAAACCACGCGGCCATCGCAGCCTTGAGGAGAGCTGTCGCTGCTCTCCCTACAGATTCAAAGTGGGAGAGTTTCAGTGCAGTGATTGGCTGAGGCCCTGGTTTCCTTTCCCGCCCTCGCTGTATCAACCGCCAATAGCAGAGAGGTTTGACTACGTTCTTTCGCTTGGGGACTCTGGACATGCGCCTGAGACGAAAAGTGTACTGTAGTAACCTTTACAGTTGCTGAATTAAAGACGGAGTTGGGATGGCTCTGGGCAACAGCCATCCCAACTCGTCTTTAATTCAGCAACTAAGAGCTGGTGGGAGGAAAGAAGTTGTAGAATGGAGCAAAAGATGGATTGTAGGCTTTAAGAGCACAGCCCACTTTCTCCCACAACACCCACATCCCTGCTGCATATCTCTGACAAGAGAGCCAGGAGATAAATTGCACCAGGAATAGGGACCTTCTGAAGATCACTATACCTGCATCAAGATCAATAGTCCCTGCAATAAAAAAGGGGAAAACAACCTATTGAATGGAAAGGGTTTGCAAACCCATTTTCAGGGGTTTCTGCTTCTTCCCACATCCCTCCCATGCCCAAGTATTTTAACAATTTTGACATTGATTTATCAATCTTATGAAAGGGTGAGATTTCTATTTAGCAAAGATTCAACGGTGCTTTAAGACCTGTGGCAATAGAATTGAAAGATGGAGCTGGCAACTCAATATATTTTGTGGCAAAATTGGAGAAGCCCAAATGGTGTTGGTCCCATTACCCATAAATAATAAAGTTGGTATGAGAATGGCCTTTTGGAACCTCCTCACAAGTGAAAAAATTGTAATGCAAGGTCTTTGCTCTAGTATTGACCTTTCCTTTCCCCTTTCTCCTTTCCTTTTGTTTCCTTCCTCCCGGCAGGGAGCGAAGGAGACAGGGTTGCCTAAGGCGCCCGGAGAGATGCTGCATTTGGGGGTTTTATGCTGGCGCCGCGGGTTGGCGGGGACTTTTGGTACATCAGAAGCGGGTCAGGTGAGAACTTTAGCCGGGAGGATTAGAAGAAGTATATATACCTGTTTTGGGGCCCTGAGGCTAGTGATACAACAACTCTGGCCCTACTGAAAAGATCTTGCCATGGGAAGCTGGTAAATATAAGCTGCCTCCCTGCAGCATTACTAAGCAGTGGACAGCGTCGCTTCTGTGCAGATGCCGAGAGTGGCAATGGCACCCAAAAGGCTGCTTCCCTGAAGGATAAGTCGTGCTCCGAGAAGGAAACGGCTTCTTCGGGGACCTGTTTTGCCACCCCACCAACGCTTCTCCCTCCCACAACGTGTTGTATGAGTGGATGCCACAACTGCGTCTGGATTGCTTATGCAGAAGAGGTTCTGAAATACTACAAGGATGGTGGCGAGCAAGCTTTGGCCGCTGTGGAGAAACATATAGAGGATGAAAATATTAAAATGTTCCTGAAGATGGAAATTAAGTTCCGTATGAAGAAAGACTGACACTTTTGACCTGATGCACATTTATCCCATAGTTTCGGACTATAGAAGACTTTGAAGAGGAAAAGAGATGATATATTTTATTTTATATAAAGAGTTAAGAGCCAAGGTGGCGCAGTGGTTAAATGCAGCACTGCAGGCTACTGCTAGATCAGCAGGTCAGCGGTTCAAATCTCACCGGCTCAGGGTTGACTCAGCCTTCCATCCTTCCGAGGTGGGTAAAATGAGGACCCAGATTGTTGGGGGCAATATGCTGACTCTCTGTAAACCGCTTAGAGAGGCCTGAAAGGCCTATGAAGCGGTATATAAGTCTACTGCTATTGCTATTGCTATTGCTTTCCTTTTTGTTTTTTGTTTACTGTAGATTGACTGTGTGACTTACAACATTATAAAACAGAAACATTAAAACAACATTAAAACAACATTAAAAGTTAAAACATTAAAATTAACAACAACAAAAACTAGCTAAGAAAGGAACCAATCTATAAACAAGGTGGAGGTGGGATCTTTTTAGTTTACTAACCATCTCCAGAGTTCAATTTTGTTCAGAGATGTTGGATTTTTTGGAAGATTGCTGAATAAAAAGGCAGGGTTTTAAAAGAAGATTGGTAGATTTATGTGCAAGAAGAGTTCACATGATAGTGTCATTTCTCAAGCGTCATTTCTCAGATGCCCCTATCTAAGCATAAGGTATTGTAGCCAAGCGAAAATAGAGGGCTGTATCCATTGACCAACTGGGGAAGTAGTATAACAGTATGGGCTTTCCCAATCCTAATCCAACATATTAGCCACTATGCTTCACTGACAGATCTTCCAAGAGAAGGATGAAAAACAAAGTAATATCTGGGTTGATTCCCCTCACCCAAATCCTCCAGTTAGAATTCACTGCATATTGCTTAATTGTATCCTAATAAAGAACAATGCCTGTCTTTGTGTTAGAATAATGTGAAGCTATGTTCACACTATTTCCATTTTCTTGTGGGAAGAGAAATGGGGCAAAGTGGCACAAAAGCTTGTCTTCCTCTTCTTGCTTCAGGACTGGCAATGGAAGTGGAAGTCATGGTGTTTTGCCACAATAAAAGAGTTCTAACTCTCTTACACTGCCAAAAGGAGGATAACATTAAAAATTCGTGGACAAGGACTTGGAGTAGATATGTTTGTCATAGTGTGAGATGGCATAAGGCAGCCCTCCCCATTTCAGAATGATTTGCAACAGCCTGATTTGCAACAGCAGAAGCTGAAACCCTTTTAAAGTCAAGCAAGAAAAAAGGAAGTTAAAAAGTAATGTCCATACATTTTACAAATTTTTCCCTTTTCACCTTAACCATGACATTTGGTGGAACAAGATGAGGAGTTTTTTTTTGTTTATGCTAGTAGCCTATCTATATTTATTGGTCGGGCTGATTAAAATTGTGGCCTTATGCCCTATTCTCAGTTATTCTTGTAAAGACTTATTTGACATGCTGTTTGTAATATCTTTTTATACAGCTGGAAATCACAGAGTCAGCACTTCAAATCAGTGAAGAGGAGCTTTTACACAGAGCATCTTTTGTGGATATGTGGGTTGAATTGTTGAGGGTTATATGTCAGACAAACAAACAAAACTCACCTTTAAGCAAAATGGTCAATAAGAGCCACAAAGTGCTGAGTGCTTAAAACCCAACAATTGGCCTCCAGAGAGATTGCTAACTGCTTGAAAATGTGCGCTCTTTTGGTTTGTGAGTAAAATATCATCTTTGGTAGTTGCAGAGAATTTCAACAACTTCCATCCTGCTGGGAAAGAGATAATTGATTTGAACCAACAAAATTGCCATGTCATGACTTTTGATTTAGGCTCACAATATCTTTGAAGTTGTTTTCTAAGCAATTCACACACATACAAACATATAATTGTGTTGCCCAGTCTGTCTGTAACACAATAGCTTTTTCTTTATGCTTTCATTTTTTAAAATGCAGTAGCATCAGTAGTACTAGATAAATAATACTGAGATTCTGTGATAAAACTATAAGCCTCCATTCTTCCTATGGAAAAATTCCTAGGACTGTCAACCAAAATTTCTTCCACCTTCTGTTGACAATTCACTTTAATACTATGGTAAGGAAGAAAAAGAAAAATCTGGATCTTCTATACAATTAACGAGGCTGAATGATTAAATAATAAATGCTTAACTCAAAAGCAAT